TAGAGATTCTTCCAGTCCTGAAAGGTGCCCCACAGGGTGATGAGGAAGGGGTGCTTGACATCGCTCAGCATGCGGCGCTCGTCGTTTGTGTGCTCGACCTGCTTCATCTTGACCACCTGCGCCTTCTTGAGCACCTTGACGGCGTAGAAGCGCTGGTTGTGCTTGGACTGGACCAGGTGGACGCGGCCGAAACTACCGGTGCCCAGCGTCCTCAGAATCTCAAAGTCGCCGAGCGAGTACTTGCCCTTGGTGACGCGGGGCTGGGATAGCGATATGCTGTGGCCGTGGTGGATCTGCTGTTGGTGGTGGTGCTGTTGTTGTTGTTGTTGTTGTTGTTGCTGTTGTTGAGGCTGGTGGTGCTGCTGCTGAGGTTGCTGCTGTGGGGGCTGTTGCGGTGGCTGTTGTTGTTGTTGTTGAGGCTGCGGTTGCTGCTCATTGGGGGGGTCCAGCTGCATCGCCGACGACAAGTGATGCTGCTGTTGCTGTTGCTGTTGCTGCTGTTGTTGTAGCAACTGCTGCTGCTGCAGCTGAGCGGCATTGGCGTCGGCCATCTGGGCGCCTACGGGAGCGGAGGGCTGGTACGACGAGGGGGGGTAGCCGTTGGCCGAGCCGGCATTCTGGGGCGAATTGATGAGGTTGCTGATGCTGGGGAGGTTCTGCGAGTCGTGGCCCGGCGCGTAGGGATGGGGAGGCTGGAGGGCGGGATTCATGGTCGGCTGGTGGTCGGGCTGGGCGGTGGGCGAGAGGGAGTGGGCGAGCTCGAGGGGGGCAGCGGAGGCGGAGGCGGAGGGTGAGGACAAGGAGGAGGAGGGCGCGGCCGTGGCCGAGAGTCGCGCGGCAGCAGGAGCGGGAGCGGCAGCAGAGGGCGAGGCCGAGGGCGAGGCTGCGGACGTCGAGAGTAGGGCGGGTGAAGCTGGCGAGAAGGACGAGGCCGGCGCAGGAGCTGGCGTCGACAGCGCGGGTGCGGAGGCGGGAATGGGGGTGGATGCGGACGGCGAGATGGACCCAGGCGAGGCGGCGGCGGTGCCTTGGGGGGGAGGAGCGCCTAGCAGGGCGCCTGGAAACGCGCTGTGGTTGCCGCTGCTGGTGCTGAGGCCTGTCGCTCCAGCTGTACCCGCACCCGCAGCAGTGCCTGTTGAGCCCGCACTCGACGCGGCAGCGCCTGGGGGGCCCGAGGTAGCGGTACCGCTGCCGGCGTTGGCACCCGAGCCGAGCTTGAAGGTGATTGCTCGCGGCTGCGTCTGTTGCTGCTGCTGCGTCTGTTGCTGTTGCTGCTGCTGCGCTGGTGTCGAGTCCCAGCTCTTCTTGTTCTTGGGTTCGACGGGGCTGGTGGGGTGCGCAGCGCTGTGGTGGTTGCTGCTGCTGGCCTTTGCGGAGGGGTCAGAGCCGGAGCTGCCCTCCTTTGTGCGCTTCTTCTTGAGAAATGACCCGAAGGAAGGCATTAAAGCAGGAATAGCGACGTATTGGCTTAATTGGGGGGTCCGGGTGGGTGTAGCAGCAAAGGCGGCGAGAAAGGAGGGTCGCGGCGACCGATCGGACGGTTGGACCGGGTAAAGAAAAAAAAGAGGAGGGAGAAAAAATAGAATAGGATCAAGGTGAATAGTGATGAAATTTGAGATCAAAAAGCAATTGGAATTTTTCAGCTTAAACGAGGGCTAGAGAGAGAGAGAGCAAAGCAAAGCGGGCAGCGGAACGGATGGCGATTGGGTTTGGGGAGATGCGAGCCCGGCAAACCAAAAACTGCGGAGGCTCTCGATTCCAGTGATGTCGCAGTGGTTGCTTCACGTTGGTGTCACTGCTGGCGGCGATCCGAGCTAGGGACGGAATGCTCTGGGCTGTAGGAGGGCCCTTGAACTGAACTGCACTGTAACTGATCAAATACCACCTTGCTGTCAAGCGGGTGGTGTCTCGTATGCAAGTTGAGATGCAGCTGTGCGTTTTAGCTGGAGCTGGAGCTGAAGCTGGAGCTGGGAACTGGGAGTGGAGGGGCGACAAAACGAGGGCGGGCAGGCTTCCAATGCAAGGTGGGAGAGGCTCCGGGCGGCTAATGTAGGTGCTGGGCTGTGATTACATGAAGTACAAGAGGGAGACGCCGCTTGCAGTGCTTCAGCGCCCGAGGGGGGCGTCGTCGATGATCTGCTTCAGGGGTGCCGAGGCAGATGCTGGAGCTGGCCAAAGATGACGGGAGATATTAGACAGAGGAGGCAGCTCTTTGCTTCGTTCTGATGTGTACACGCTTTTGTTGTTAGTGCAAGGTCATTCCAGCCTTGAAGCCAGCAAGTATAATGATCAATACAGGGCAAATCAAAGTGCGAAAGGAACCGGTCAGCATGGCCGGGTCCAGTTTGTCTTGAATCAGCAATGCAGGGCGTCAAATGGGCGTCATCCGGGACACCCACGACACGGCAGAGCTAGGCCGCGTCTGGGGTTGGTCAACTGCAGCCTCAAACCTCAACAGGCACCGCACCGGCTTCAATGTTGCCTTTTTTTCGTTTACTTTACGACATAAAGAAGTAGATTGATTTCTTGAAGAGTGCTGCGATTGCTGCCGTCCATTCCCAGCCCATCCGAAAGGCGACAATCGACAATCAAACGTCGAGATTGATGTTGATGCGGCAGCGCCGCTCTCGGGCTGGGATCGGCTGTGGCGCTGCGAATCGAAGCAATTCGGTTGGCGAGATTGATGGAATCAAAGCGTCCTGGCCTGGGCTTTTGGTAGCTTTCACCTTGCGTCTGCTTCCCTTTTCCCCTCTCTATCTTGTCCTTCTCTTTACATATCTATTTCCGTGCCTTCAATGGCTTCAGATTGATCCCAAAACAGTCAGAGAACCTCGTGCACTCCCTTCGTCAACCTGAGCCTCTCGCAACCCAAGAGTCCAGTGCCTCTTCAGCACGACTGTCTCCATCCAAGCCAAAGGGTGCTCAGGCCATGTGCTGCGCCCTACGCAATGGTAATGGCATCCGCAGAGGCCCCACGGCAATCCTCGGTGCAAGTCGATGGCTGAAACACACTGCAATTTCGCTGCCCAGTTGATTTCCTCTCTCTCTCTCTCTCTCTCTCTCTCT